TTATACCCGTGGAGATGTCTAGCTGACTGTAACTACATCGCGACATCGGTCTGTGGTGTATAATCCGTGTTTAGCCCGTGAGATGTCAGCTGACTGTAACTACATTCGTGACATCAGTTGTGGTATCTATCGCGTGTTTACGTTGAGATGTCTAGCTTGACGTTAACTACATCGTGACATCGGTTGTGTGTATATATCTGTTTACCCGTGAGATGTCTAGCTGACTGAACTACATGTCGTCGACATCGTTGAGCGTATAAATCGTGTTTACGCAGTTGTAAGATGTCTAGCTGACTGTAACTACATCGGTGACATCGTTTCGTATTAATCGTGTTACCGTCGAGATGTCTAGCTGACTGTTAACTACATCGTGACATGTCGTTGAATGTGTATATAGTCGTGTTACTCCGTGAGATGTAGCTGACTGTAACCTACATCGTGACATCTTGTGTTGTATAATATCTTGTTACCCGTGAGATGTCTAGCTGACTGTACTACATCGTGACATCGTCTGTGTGTATAATCGTGTACCCGTGAGATGTCTAGCGACTGTAACTACATCGTGACATCGTTGTTTGCGTATATATCGTGTTTACCCGTGAGATGTTCTAGCTGACTGTAACTACATCGTGACACGTTGGTATATATCGGTTTACCCGTGAGATGTCTAGCTTGACTGTAAACTACATCGCTGACATCGCTTGTTGGTATACATCGTGTTTACCCGTGAGATGTCTAGCTGACTGTAACTACATCGTGACATCGTTGTCGTATATATATCGTGTTACCCGTGAGATGTCTAGCTGACTGTAACTACATCGTGACATCGTCTGTGTGTATAATCGTGTTTACCCGGTGAGATGCTAGCTGACTGTAACTACATCGTGACATCGTTTGTGTCAGTATATCGGTGTTTACCCGTGAGATGTCTAGCTGACTGTAACTACATCGTGACATCGTTGTGTGTATATATCGTGTTTACCACGTGAGATGTCTAGCTGACTGTAAGTCTACATCGTGACATCGTTGTGGCTAATCATATCGGTGTATTACTCCGTGAGATGTCTAGTCTGGACTGTAACTACATCGTGACATCGTTGTGTGTATATATTCGTGTTTTACCCGTGAGTTGTCGTAGCTGACTGTAACTTACATATACGTGACATCGTTAGCTGCATGTATACATCGTTTGTTTACCCGTGAGATAGTCTCAGCTGACTGTAACTACTATTCGTACATCGTTGTGTGTATATCAGTCGTGTTTACGCGTGAGATGTTCTAGCCGACTGTAACTACACTCGTCGAATCGTTGTGTGTATATATAGTGTTTACCGGTGAGATGCTAGCTGACTGCTAACTACATCTTGACACTCGCTTGTGGTATACATCAGTGTTTACCGCGAGAGTCTAGCTGACTGTAACTGACATCGTGACATCGTTGATGCGTATAATCGTGTAGTTACCCCGTGAGATTCTAGCTGACTGTAACTACATCGTGACAATCGTTGATGTGTACTACATCGTGTTTACCCGCCCCGTGAGATGTCTAGCTGACTGTAACTACATCGTGACATCGTTGTGCGTATATATCGTGTTTACCCGTGAGATGTCTAGCTGACTGTAACTACATCGTGACATCGTTGTGCGTATATATCGTGTTTACCCGTGAGATGTCTAGCTGACTGTAACTACATCGTGACATCGTTGTGTGTATATATCGTGTTTACCCGTGAGATGTCTAGCTGACTGTAACTACATCGTGACATCGTTGAGTGTATACATCGTGTTTACCCGTGAGATGTCTAGCTGACTGTAACTACATCGTGACATCGTTGAGTGTATACATCGTGTTTACCCGTGAGATGTCTAGCTGACTGTAACTACATCGTGACATCGTTGAGCGTATATATCGTGTTTACCCGTGAGATGGCTACGGATGTCTCTGCCTGTGGACTTATGAAGAAGCCTTCATTGAGGGGCCATGAGTACTGACGTGCTTCGTGCACAGCGACGCGGATACCGGCGCTCTTAGCTATCGGCCCGATGTATTCGTCCTGGTTCACGAACAGCATCAGCCTGAGTCCTAATGATAGGAAGCACCAGCAGCGATTCATTATAGTAGTATATATAGTGAGTATACTTGGCGCTCCTACAGAAATACATACAGTATACAGGGGTAGAAATTAGTTTGAAAATTTACAGGCCAGTCGGGCCTGTAGGTAAGGGATTTTACAGGCCCGCCAGGCAAATTTCACAGGCCGGGGGCGGATTTTCTACGAGCCCGTCAGGCTTGCTAGTATTAGAAATGTCAGGCCCGAGCCTTAAAATACAGGCATCGGGCCTGCCGGCCCCTTGGGATTTCGACCTATGGTATACGAATTAATGGCATTAATTATTGCATGAGAGCTGGTCTGCCTGGCGCCAGATTTGCCGTTTCAGATTTACCGAAGTCCTCGCCGACTTGTTCGACCGTCTCCAACTCTGATGCATTTGGATTCAGACCAGAGTTAAACGTGAAACAGTTTCCATAGGTCGGGTTAAAGAATGCGTAGAAATGCCTGAAAAAGTGCAGCAATCATTTCAGATAACTGCAAGGGGCATCTATACTATCACAAGAAACAACTGTCTGTCTGTCTGTCTGTCTGTCTGTCTGTCTGTCTGGCTGCCTGTCTGTCTGCTACGCATTCTGGCATCTATTGGTTTAGAATGCCCAATATTACCACACTGTTAGGTGATCACCAATAGGGGTGCCTAAGCACATTTCAATCACATCTATAGCAAAATATCATAGCGAAAAATACCATATAAGAGTGAAATACCCGATTTCACAGAGCATAGCATATAACACGTGCACAGCGGCGGCATATATATATGTATAATTGTATATATATGATCTACCTACTTTGACATCTGACACGGCTTGCCTTGCCACTCACAGCTCAGCACCAGTTCATTGAGGGGCTGACTAAGACCAACCATCTCTGTATCGTTTAGATCCCGACCATAGAGTTCCATCATGAAGTACGCCTGCTGCTCACGGCTGCTAATATTCTGCTGCACCACTAACGTCTCCAGTTCCTTCAAGGTGGCTATGTATTCAGCAACATTTCCGGTGCTATAGGCTGCCTCTAATTGGTTGTCCAGTTCCTTAATTAAAGATAGAAATTGGAGAGTGAAGAGCATCAGCGTAGGGTTAACATACGTTGGCTTGGCCTGTAACAGTCCTAGTATCTTTCTTCATGTCATTATTAATCACGTAATACATTGTAATCACGCCCACATGCACCCACGCATGCACGCATGTTCGTGGATTAGTTGCTTTTCGTGCACTACATATACCTCTAACATCTGATCTCACCTGGAAGTCATCATAGAAGCTACCTTCAGTCAGGTTGGGAGGAAGGAACCAGAAACTGGTGAAGTTAACATCATAAGCCATCCGGGTTGCTGTGAATGGGTTGCTGTTACATACAGTGACGGCAGGAAACTCTCGTCTGTCGTAGCTCATCTCATAAGCAACTTTCGTCGTATTGGAAAAGTACCTTAAAATATCACAATACGAGGTGAAAAGGCAATTTGGCGTAATATAGATTTTACATATCGTTAAACTCTAACTAATCAGGTAGGCATGAAACTTAATTCGATAATTCAACATGAACGATAATTCTTATTGCACTATTACGCTTATAATCACGCTATCCAGTATTTGGGAGCGAACCAATGTTCCACATAGGAGTTACTGAACCAATGTTCCACATAGGAGTTACTGAACCAATGTTCCACATAGGAGTTACTGAACCAATGTTCCATATGCTGCATACAAAACACCCCACAAAACATCGTTCTACATGTACAAAACTACACAAAAACTACATACCAAGCTTTGAAAATTACATACAATACTAATCACGAAAGTATATATACAAAGCACATGCTCTGTGTAGAATGCTAATACAGATTCACACGATGCAAACAGGAATAAGTTCTCTCGTTGTTACCTTCCTTGCCTTCTCCTGAGCCTGCTTTGCCTTTCGCACTCGCTCTTTTTTTGCCTCCAGTTCCTTTTCTTCTCGTCTCCTTTCGACCTTTCTCTTATGTTCTGCAATTTTATGCGCCTGCAATGATATAAATACTGTTCTGTCCATTCTCGAATATCAAGTAATTAATATTAAAGAGGTTAAGGCATGTAAGGAGACCCTTGTCTACTACTCTCCCAGTGTCGGCCAAGCCAGTGTTATCGATGGATCTTTATTCCAAACCATACATTACATACTTTCTAATACTCAACTCTAAAGTTATTAGTGTACTATGACACTGAATGCAAATACCATAAAACTTCAATTTCATATTGCTGTATAATATTGTGTATGCTGTTTTGCAAAATTGTTACACAGTAAACCAATTATCCATGACTATCTGTCGGTCGGTCAGGTTGGGTCAGGTTGGGTCAGGTTGGGTCTGGTTAGATCAGATTGGGTAGGGGTGTTCGATCGGTCCGTCTGTCCTTCCATGCACAACGCGGATTGTTGAGTGTCACTAAAACATGTGACATGCTCTTACGTTTGGCGTGACTTCCTTTAGCCACTCATTCGCCTGCTCATCGTAATCTAGCTTACAGGCTGTCTGCAAATCATGTGCCGCCTTCTCAAAGTTGCCCAGCAACCTGAAAAGACATGTCATAAGGTTTATCAGAATTCTTTCCAGGCATGCAAGGGTCCAACATGCCTGCAAGGTTACAGCTATATTGTGACATTCGATAAATCTTCCGACATTTCTCGAAGCGGCATCAACTCCTTACCCCTCCAAATTATACAGAAACTTCCCAGATTATCCAGACACCTGCTAAATTGTCGAGATATATAGTTTTAAGTACACAACAGATGGCTGTTAATTGATCCCTCACGTTAAAATTATAAAATTCGAATATTTCTTTACATTTTATATCTATTTAGAGCTGTAACCTGTATTGAAACGATTGAGAAAAATTTTGCTCGTTTCATTTTCAAACAGTTGTATTAGGAACCTGGCGGATGCATACAAAAATGCTGACAGGTATTAACATGTAAGTAGAATGGCCATAAATGTAGGTAACACACCTCCTAAACCCTAAATCCTGCCACAGTTGGTTTATTTCTTTATGTATATATGCTTGGTGCCAGAAATCAAATTCGTTCATTAGCATACGCTGTGCATTTTTGCATCATAAAATCGGCATTCCCCATTGCTCACGAAATGTCTGGTTGCAAAACTGCGTTTGAATGAGTGCTGAACGATGTTACAGCTTAGAATTTGCTGTTGTTTTTATTGTGATGAAACACTACGTGGAACCGATTTGAAGCATATTTCAATTCAGAATTTGTCACAAAAAGTAACCATAACCTCAAAAATACAATTTTCAAGGACTGTGAACAGCCTTAATGAATGCGGCTTAATTACCTCCGCCCAACGGAGTTGGAGGAGGTTATGTGATCGCTCTTGTGCATGTTGTGTGTTAGTGTGTTAGTTCGTTCGTGTGTTAGTGTGCTCGCACGATCGATATTAGCGCGTCGAGTCAGCAGCAGGCCAGTCAGTCAGTCAGCAGCAGCCTGCAGCAAGCGGCGAGCCAGCTCGTAACACATACATGTTACATGCTGACAGAGGTATGCACTCTCCGTGAGTGCCCTCTGTCTAGTTTCCAGCTGTGTTCAATTTTGATCAATTTGATTTCCAACACGTGCCGTTTTGATAATTTGATTGTTAGGTCTCCGAAATGATAAAGATCACCTGTGTAATTTGGGCGCTACCTACCTGTGCGACATTATTGCAAAACAGTTAATCGATATTAAGATAGGACGTGCTGAAAATGCACCTAGAAATGGAGTACGTACTGCAAAGTCTCCATTTTCGCGTGCACGTGTGAAAAACATACAAAATTGGTGAGTTTGGCTGACCTAGTAACAATATCTAAGGGGTACCCGGTTAACTTACTCCTTATCACGGATAGGTAAGTTAATTAAAACTCAGTACTGCCCCAAGAAATAAACTAACACGATTCCTTTATGTTCCCAAAGATAAGCGTCAGACACGCATGCATGCACACATGCATGTACTGCTTCTTTTTCAAACTATGCAGCATATCTATTCACTATGCAGAATTTGTAAAAAACAAATGCATCTGTTATGCATCCAACCTGTGAGCTCTCCCTCTAAACTTGAAGGCAGCAGCACTGTCTGGATTGATCTCTAAGGCAATGTTGCAGTCTCTGATTGCAGCATTAGGTTTCTGCATCTTGAGGTAGACACTGGAAGACAAACGGCAATGTAAACACAACACAAACACACACACAACAAATTTCTTCTTCAAACAAAAACATAACCAATCAAAAAATGCAAGTGAAAGTCTACTCCACCCTGTCATCAGAAGGTATTGGCTTACATATGACAATTGTCGCTCCGTGGCACTAGCATGAAATTTCGTAAATGCTAAATGAATTCAGCTTCGACTTTCCAAGTCTTTGATTTTTCAGGCCTGGTAAATGCAGTTTCAAAATTCCAAGACATTCCAGGACCTGTACGAACCACGTAACATCACTTGTACGCAGAATGGCTTGCGGGTCTTCTACGTAACATTTACCTGGCACGCTTAGCATGGAGCAGTGCTGATCCAGGGTTCATCTTCATTGCTTCTGTAAACAGCTTTATGGCACTCTCCAGCTCACCTGGGACACAATTAACAAAGATCAATTAATTTATGGAACAGATTAATTTTTACTGGCATGAGTTTTAATCAAACATAATCAATCATGAGGGACTTAAAGATAAAAAGACAATAAATATCTTGCTATTTAAAATAATTTAAATAAACGTATTTTTAGGTACATTCGAACCTATGTTAGCAGTTACCCCTATGGAGAAGACACCCGTCTGAGCTATAGACCAGGCAGAAATGCTAAACTAGGACTCTTACCATTGGACAGAGCCGCCATTGCCTCTCCTCGCTTCTCGTTTGAAGCTTCAATCATTTCATCAGTGACCTTGAAATTTACACAAAAATGTTTTTATGCCGCGACGAACACTCGACGATATTTCAATGAACCGACAACCACTGTGACACACTCACGAATGTCATCAATCGATTGTTCATGCAACTGAATTTATACATGCCAACTACACTCGTTTTATTTATTACATATTTTTCTACTTAATACACAGTTTATACTCTGTTTACATGCCTACAACACTGCTAGCTTGCCTACTATCTAAATCTGGATCTACCATAAATGCACCCCCTTTTTGGCCGGATGTCATTTTACTTGGTAAATAGGTGCAGGATTACTCCTTCCCGGAAATTGAATACACGTAAAAAATTTCAGTCGTGGTCCACGACTGCTAATTAAAAAAAAATTTCCACCAAGATTTGGCCATCTTCATGTAATGTTTATCAATATTAGGTATTAAAGCTTTCGGACTTTGGAAACGATAAATATTAGGATGGGTTAAACGGACGTGTTTGTGTTGTTTTGAGGCGGTAATGAACAAGTATCCGTGCAAGCAGCATCAGAGCAGATACGTTTCACCTCACAGGAGAAGAATTTCGCAATTTTAGCCACTTGCGAAAAATCGCGAGTGCCTCAAAAATCGACGTGCTAAAATGAATTCGAACGTGCACTTTTTTTTGTACAACATAAACTACTTTTTAAATATTAATTACATACACTTTTTGCATACTATTAATACTAATCGTTGGAATGAGCTTATGTTGTGAAATATAATTAATGTATGTGTTAATCATGAAATATATTCTTTCCGTGATCGACGATGATAACTAATGTATGCGGCGTATGCTATAAATTTCCACTCGCAGAAAATAGCAAGTGCTTATATTTTCTACTCGCAAATTCTCAATATCGACACGCATTTTGCGAGTTAGCAATAGGGAAATTCGAGCCCTGCCTCCGTACGTACCTCCATACTTGCATCTCCTGTCTCCTCAGGTTGCTCATTGTCACCTTCAATAACTCCCTCCATGTCGAGCTCTGTAACCAAAGCATCTACTTTAATTACTCACGAGTGGCTGTCAGTGATAAAACAGAACCGACACTCAACGAGCACACTCGCTCGGTTTGAATAATTTAATCGGATCTCTATATGCCCCAGTCACACATACACGACGCACGGCCCGCGCACTGTAAAATCAGCAATTTTGGCCAGTGCGTTGTCGTTCGCTGGGTGTGCGTCAGCATTCGTTACTCGTCGAGCGTGCTGGACCAACGCTATGCAATCGTTGTCATTCGCTCGTGCGCGGCGTGTGCGTCGGGATTTTTGTGCATGCTCAAAATTGTGCGCGGAGCTCGACGCATGAATGTACACGCCAGAAGGACGCCAGACATGCGCAGAGCGCGCTGGACCAACGCCAGACCCACGCGGAGCACACGATGGGTATTCATTGTATGTTCGTCGGCTGAGGTGTAGCGAACACCTAGCGCACACC